ATGCTAGCATAGCCGTGAATGATGTGTTTGCTGCTGCTGTTTTGGACTTTATTTCACGTATCCGTGACATACACAAGAAACAAGCCAGGATTATCTATTAGTCGTATCGATATTTCGACTGGGATTTTACGCTCAAAAAACAGCAAAAACTGAATGTTAAGAATGTTAAGTTTATTAACTCTCATTGGCTGTCATTTGAACCATATGTTTGTCTTGTGTCAGATTTTGATTGTGATCAGATATCTTGACTCTTTAAATCTCGAAAGGACTTTTTAAACTGTTTGTCCAATTGTTGGTGTGCATTGCTAATTACGGTGACAAAGCTGCCTTCTGCTGATCAGGAACTGTGTGCTGATTGAGTTCGACTTTCTCGTTCAGGATTCTTTATTGATATTTCTGGATATGGCTCATTATCAGGCTCAGCATAATTTCTGCCAAGTCACCAAATGTGAAATTGCTATTTACTTTCAGATGCTAAATAAGTGCCATGGTACAAACAAATTAGACGGGCACAGTCTGGGCGATTTTTTTTTTAAATTTAAAATTAAATAAAAAAAATAGCGCAATAGAGGTGTTAACGCGAAATCCCCTGTAACCGCGAAATCACCCAGACTGGACGTTTTTGCCGCGCCTCCTGTGGTGAAAGCAAGAACTAGTGTTTTTTCATAATAGTTTGTATGTCAATGAGCAGAATGACAGGCAAGAACGTTATCCAATCAGAGTGATTTGACCTTAGTACCTGAAGACTTCACTTTTCTGCAAGTTTCTCGATCGTCAATTATAACAAACGTTTCGTACAATATATTCTAATGGAGAGAAGTAGCCTGCGTGTAGCTTTATCTCGCATGGGTTACAGTGAAGCGCGATCTGGACAGAAGACCCACAATGTTTACCTCATTATACAGCGCGCACGCCCTCACTCTTTTTCTGTATCCGTTCAGTGATGTCACTGCATATCATGAATAAATATTAGCAACAGATTAGATGCAAATAAGACCAGTCTGTGCAGGTTTCGCGTTCACCCCACCTTTTGCAAAACTATTTTTCCTTTTTTTTAACTGAAAAATATTCACCACAGATGGGCCAGTCTAAAACAAATGTATCATCAGTGATATAAATAAAACGTGGTTTGCAACAAATGTTGGTAAATATCTTAAAGTTTTGATAAAAAACAATACTTTTATCATAATGGAATGTTAGTTCGTGAACTTTTTCGTTCACAAAAACATATATTTAGTCGCTTTCACAAATATTCTATCACAAAAGAAACCAGCTATATTAGGTTGTACAGGCTTGGTCTCCTGGAGGTCTCTTGGAGGTCACCGCAATAACTGTTTTCAAGCACATCAACAAATTATTGTATTTCATAGCATAGAGGTGCAAATAAACACATTGAACTTAGTTTGTACGCCGGGTACAATGGGAGTGCCTATTATGTGGAATCAGACCTTCGTTTAAATAGAAAATATAGAAAACCGGAAGAGACTATTTCGCGGGATCAACAAAACTACGACATGCGATGAAAATCGAATTTGTTGTGGCAGAGACAATCGATCTACATCTTGTCAGTTCGTATGCGTGTAGAAAATGTGGACTGAGAGCGTCGACTCTGCCAAAAAACAGGGATGAGTTCAGGAAAAAATTTCAACAAACTAAGCGAGAGTTATTGGAAAGGTCGCAGTCATTTTCCTCTAAGAGAATGGCAACTGCAAGTGGGGGATCCCTGGTTTCGTCGAAACGAGTTCTCTTTGAAAAGACGAATGTCAACACGGCACGCTGACGAACACATCTCTCCCCTCTGTGTAGTTTGCGATAGTGTCTCGCTGGTATTCTTTGCAAGAAATATCATGGTAGTCTAAACGTTCCAGCACTTTTATAATGCATTCGTCAAGATTTGTTTGTATCATGATATCAACAAGTACAGTCAAAACAAACTTCGCGTTAGTCGTAGTAGGCAGCAATACCTGACCCTTTTCACGATTGGCCACGATAAAATGATAAACATCTGCGCGACTATCATTTGCATATGAAAGTACCCGAACCTGGTAAGAAATCTTACCAGTGAATTGCAGAACCGGACAGTTGGTCGTGTCTAACGCCACTCCATACTTCCTGTCCCGGCGCTCGCAATTTATTCAATCTTATTACTTTTATACACAATATTTATTAATAATAACAGATGAATATTAGGTACGACCGACTGTCGACAGTCTAGTTGTGTATTAAGTTCGTTGCTAGAACCATCTTATTTTCGGACACCGGAGTAAAAACTACTAAGATAGTCATCAAGTACATCTAGGGTCATTTGTGTATCTGCCGAACTTCAGTAGAATGTGTACTTTTCAACCATTTCATGAACGAGTTAACGAGTATTTTTTGTGGTGGTGGTGGTGGATCAGTTCGAACTTGTCGATGTCTGAGAACGTTGCATATCGCTAGGAAACTTGGTTTTCCCGTCTTTGTTACCTTCAATTTGACTTTCATTCGCATTATTCTGAGCGAGCTGGTCTGCCAGTTCTTACAGTTCTGCAACTTAGCTATTTCCTAGGAGATCAAAATTCACATCCGCCATATGACAAAGAATATATATATTTCGCGCTAAATCTACATGAGCATTTTAAAATAGAATGCCACATTTTTCGTTCAAATCATTGGTTTTATTAGTTCATTAGCATACACATTTATTTATTCTATAATTAAAGTAGTCACTTGTTTCAAAATCATATTTTGTTTACTGAAAATAGTTCCATCAAGTGATGACGTCACACTGTGATACGCATGTGATATTTAATTTTGGGCAATAATTTCACCACATTTAAAATTATAATGTACATATTAAACATTTATTACCAAAATACAGCTAAAGGCATAAAGCAGGAGATGTTATTAAACGACATTTTGCAGAAGAATAGTAAGTAATAACCATGCGCCAGAGAATAATATGGCTGTCCAAATAGTTGGCGACCCGAAAGAGCTCATTTGGATCCTAGCTTAAAAGCTTTTGTGAATGTTTGAAAAACATGTACAGTACTATATTAAACAATAAATGACAACATGCGATCATGTCTGGGTAGTTATATACATAAAATTTAATTATGATGATGAGCTAAAACATTCTAACCAGCAAATGCTCAAAGCAAAAAATATAAAAGACCAGAAAATGCTCAAAGCAATAAATGAAACAGAAATTGATCAAAACAAATCAAAAAAACGTCGAAAAACGATCATATAATAGTCGAAACATTTTCTTATTTTCTTAGATTTGCTCATCTATTTTGAACTTTTTGGCGAATTTGTTAGGGTCTTGTCGGACTGCAATATGGCGATACCAATCTCCGCTTCTGTATGTCAACTGTTGGCAAAGTTGTGTATTATTTCTAGTTTTATAAACAAGTCGTGTCAAATTACTATTAATTATAGAGCTAGTTGTTTGGAACGGTCTGCATTGGTTGTTATGCACTTTTAAAAGACCCCGAAAGTGTGCCAATTCGACTTCAAAACGTGGTCCAAATTGTCGAATTTTTCTCCACAATGTTCTGTTAAAATAATTGTAAAAGAGATAATCTGCATTTGACCACTTATATACGTTGTGTCGAAATGTGTCTGTGATTGTTTCGCGTGTGGTACGTTGATTTTGTGCTAAATATACTATGTCTTCAAAACTCCAACACAGCAAATTTTTCAACAGAATCAGAGACTCGTCGAAGTATTCAAGTATAAGAACTAGGTCGAATTCTTTGTCCAGTCTCATAATGGTTTCATTCACAATAGTTTCATTGAGTGTGGATTCAAATGACAAACCAAATTCCCTTAACTGATTATTTCTGCCCGCCGATTTTTTTGAGCTCTGTGGTTTTTCAAGGAATGCTTGCATAGACGCCATTACTTCTTTTCTATGACTGAAAAAATTCATATGTGACTCTACGTGCGTGGCTGGCTCTCTTAAAATGGTCACATAAATAGGGTTGTCTTCCATGAATGAGTTTATTGTTTTTCTCTGGTACGACACATGACCAGTAAGGATATTGTATTTTGAAGATGAATTAACAACGCCACCAATCGGTGGCAGTATTATCGACTGACTGAGATGCACTTTTCGTATATGTCCGTTTATTGTGTTACGAGTGGAAAACACGAATGAGAGTTTATTTGCATATCCGTAGCGGCAAAAGATGCAATGGAGTGAAGTAATTCCTGTTTTATGAGTTTTTATGAAGACAATAATCCCTGCTGGTTGGCACGTTGATGGTGTGGTTGGTGCCGGTGTCTTTGATGTACCATCTACTACACGTGACACACTAAGTGGCAGCGAGTTGCTTGAGAATCGGCTGTACCATGTCCCAATAGTTCCGATAAGTAGTAACGAGGTCAATATCTGTGAAAATAATCAGTTCAGTGTTATAATGAACTTTATGGCAACGAGAGTAAAACAATTAACTGGGAAGTACATTACCCTGCATAGTTTAGTTAGGAATATAAACGTTACAGTGCACAATGAAGAGTTTTAAAGAATACATTTGTTTTGGACCTATGTCTATGTATCAGACGATTCGAGTCTAGATTCTAAAATATAAGTAAGCCCATCACATACAAAATCGGCATGAACAAGTACAGAACTTAACATAATCACATGACATAACATCAGAAGTAATGAACGTGCACAAGATGACAGCAGTCATTTTGTCATGTTATTACACACGTAGGAAGTGATATGCTGTAACACAGATATATTAGACAGCTATAATTTTCTTATGTAAGTTGCGTTTTGTAATGTAATTAAATGATCTACAAAATATTATTCTGAACATGATAAATGTGTATTTAAAATACATTGTAATCTTTGCGCCAGGCCCTGCACGGCAAGTCACTGTTATATGGTTCTAATCAAACGCAAAGCCAATGATTATGATAATGGAGCTACAATTTTAATTTGTCATATATATTTGTAACATGTACGCATGCTACAACAGAAAAACGCTTAATATGGCTGGTTTTCAGATAGATGGTCACGAATGTGTGGTGTTTATGATTAAAAAATCGAAAAACAAAACAAATAAAGGTATTTTCTCGGAAATGATGAGATAAACACAAAGAAGGTTTATTTTTCAATCTCAATGTGTTGATTATTTTGTGAATTTCTCAGGTGAATCTGCCATCTGCACCATACATGACGTTCAGAATTCCCGGTAATGTCATCGCAATTGGGTTTGCTTGTGATATTTATTTCTTGAAATTTATCTATTTATGAAAAATAACAAACCATCAATCGCATTTAAAAAAAACTATATACAAATTATATGAAATGATACAGAGTGCTGATTGAAATTTGAAAATGTGTTGCACATAATTAAATTAAAAAAAGAGAAACAAGTTACGAATGTCATTCCGTATGGAGTTGCGAAAATATCTCGTATTGTCCATCGTTCCAGTTTCATTGAATTAATCGACACAGTAATTCTTGTTCAAGTACTTTCCTAATTATGTCACATACTTCATTGCAAGTCCTTCATCAGTTCACACATACTAAGCAGCCATGAATAAAACATTGTTGATTGATTCAGTTGAGATTGTGTACCGTCGCTTCAACTTATTCAACTTTAACTGCCTGTGTCTTAAGTGTTAGTTTGCGGCTTTCAATGCATTTAAAATAATACCAACTTACCGTCAGGACAAAGCATTTAATGTACGACATATTTCCCATCTTATAATACAGATATTTATGTTATGTTATCTCAATAAACACCTAAAAAAGTAAATGTTGAGAATTATTATTAATGTTAATGTGTTCAGCTTATTACGAGCATACGGGCAATATGCAAAAATTGTAATAAAGTACTAGCATTGCTATGTTATATAATATAGTACAAGTACATCAGGTTTTTAGTACATTTAATCTTAAAGTTATTAGAACTGGAAAGTGTGACCGCAGGATACGCAGAATCACGAGCGTTCCTTTTGTGATGAAGTCGACACAGTTCAACACATATTAAATTGACCTGCATTAAGCGTCCATGGCGTAAATGAGAAAGCATAAATGCATGAACTGTTTGTGTTTTAAACACAAAAACAGCTTCCAATCGGCATTATTTTGTTGAATTATGAAACGAATGCTAGTGTATATGTATCTCAAGATGTATGACATAACTGATCAGTCCATACTGATCCGAGATGTGGCATTATAATGCCATACAATAAAACAATGTTGACCAAAGTAATGTGCATTAGGTTCCCCTATGCCCAAGTGTGAATGGAATCTTTCTAAGCACAACTGAGATATGGTTTTGAAATATCAGATTTACTTGATTAATGAACACATTTTCAAACACTTTACAGTTAGAATAAGAACGAATCCTCATAATCAAATCAAATCACAGATGGCCAGCTGGAATAAAACAGATTTGAAAACACTATGTTATCGTGGTGTGACAACAATTAGCTCACATGGTTTTGCAAAGAATCCTGGTTCTAAATGGATCACATAACATATTTGTGGCAGAATTATTTGCAAATTATATACAAATATTTAGGAACAATGCTGCCTAACGTTCAAAGTTTCTTATATATAACATATTTACACGAATTCCTGGCACACATAGAGATCTCATGAAATATTTGTATCATGACAAAAAATGTCATTTCTGTCTTCCAAATATTCGCCATATCATACAAAATTTAAACCACATCATGCCACAAACGTGATTGAAAACGAGAATCATTTGAATAAATTATATAACGTATCCTTATTCTGTAAATTGTACGACAAATTAGTTGTGTTCACGCTACACGAAATAAGATTAAAGGTGATTTAGGCTTATCTCACATATGTGCATTTCGGCTATTGGATGGCCAGTCCTTAGCACGGGCTAAGGGGCGCCATCAGACGATGACTTTTGTTAAGCCGCTGTTTACGAAAAATCCTTTTAATTTAGCTTGCATATCCTAGTAAGCATTTTTTTCTATACCCCAGCGAGGAGTCCAACTGTTTCAAAATTTCGCAGTCTTTCTATGTACTGTTAAAAACTCAAGACAGCAATGAAATCACTGACCGATCAAAAATATTTTATTTTTATTTTCAATTTGACCGGGTAAAGCACTCATCAGTAAAAAATACCAAATTGTTTGGCAATTTTTGTCCAAAAATTGAAGATAACAGCCAAACCACATGACTAATATATAGTTGGCTCCAGTCATACATTTTATATGCAAAAATATCAAGTTTCATACTGATCCAAATTCTGCCAAATCAATTGATTAAGTGAAGTGCACTAGTTCACAATAGGAACTTTTAGATTCATTCAGCAGTTTTTGAAACGAAATGATGAAAAAATCGCGAAAGGCTTGGATCCTAAAGAAGAAGAAAAATCAAGAAAAAAACAGACTAATACGACACGAGCCCTTCAACCTTTGGCTCTTAATTACAATGATAACCAAAAACTCCCCTTAGGCTATGAAACCATATAAACAGGTACAGTCAATATAACCGTTCATCTATAGTGCTGCTTCAAAAGGCATGCCATAAAATTGGTCCTTTGTTATGCACCAATACACGCAATACAATGTTACTATTCAATCGACTTAAAAAACATGTTACTTGAAAAATATGGGCTATTGTGAAAGAGTAAAGTTTGCAGTAATGCATACAAACAAGGATCCGAATTCGAAGCTGTGTGGGTATGTCCTTGAACTTTTTAACCAATGTAGTAACAGGACATACCTCTTAACAAAATCAAGCAACCGCGACAAAATTTGCTGTGCGTTCATATCTTTTCCCACGTCCGTCTTTTTAGTCATTTCTGATACATTTCCTGACCTTAGATTTCCCCAACGCATAAATAGAAAGTGATAAAAGCTGGATATTTCTCGCATCACATCATCAAAACCATAGCTAGTCGATAATATGTTTACTAAACTCTCAGCAAAGTGAAAGCCGCGAAAAGAACGATTAGTTTGATCTTCTTTTTGTCGGGAGTTAGGGCTCCAGACCACGCGTAACTCCGATGGCAGCCATCTTATTCTTTCTGGTATTTCTGGTGGACTTGTTGGATACACCCGTACAACGAACATGTCGTCTGCTTTAGATTCTTGTGTATTCTTCCCACACTTTTGAACGAGAAATGTTCAAACCAATGTCTTTTCGTGCATGTAAGATGTAGGGGTAATACCATGAGGTCCATAGTAAACTACTGATAGTAGCAGACGTTTGACTTTTTCAATTTCTCGAGAGTCGTTCTAAAACAGTTTCCCCGTTTAGTAATTGTGTTCCCGTTTGACTTCAATAAAATGGCTGTTACGGAACAACAACTTCAAACAGATTACAATCGGTGTTCGTGCTTGTGAATGTTTATCAAACATATTAATAATTGGTGATAGTGAAAATACGAGATATGTCAGAAAGACAGTGCACCGCAGCAGTAATGAAAGCCCAAGTCGGGAAAGTGAATCAAACTAAGCTATATCTAAGT